TATATACATACACACACACACACACGTGTCTGTGTGATGTATGTAAAATTTGGCCCGCGACAACGTTTGTTTTTTTGCATCTGGCCCTCGGCCCAAAAAGTTTGGACACTCCTGCAGTACACCTATGAACAATTACAGTCTTTGTTCTAGTGCAGTTTGAGATCAAGACAGAACTTATTGCATCTCGTGATGTCTTTGTAAGACATCACTAAATTTGTTAAGGTTTAATGCAGCTGGAAAGTAAAGATCAACTAGAGAATATCAGCAGTGTCTAACCCACTGTTGTATTTACAGAAGTTGTATGAGAATAAGCTACAGGTTGATTTATACTAATCTGTTATTTTTCTTTTTTAGCACGACTGACTGAAGTTTTAAAATCATGCAACGTCATAAAGCAGCAGCTGGGCCTGATTCTCACAAAACCAAAACAGACGTGATGAAATTCCAGATGCAAACACATTTGACCTTCCTTTGGCCAATTTGATTTGGAAAAGCTTGAAAATCAACTAAAGGAGCAGCCTGAACAAATGAAGAAACTGGTAAGTTCAAGCTCTTGCTAATTTCAAAGTGTTTTAAGTTTATTTGTTTTTTTTTATTGTTTTTTTTGCTTCGTAGGTAGCCTACTTTTTTCTTTTTTTTTACATTAGTACTTGTTCACTACTAATTATCTGTTTATTTTTTAATCACAGATGGAGTGAGGACAAATGTCCATACCACACCACTGATAAAGAAGTGGAAAAATGCATTACAGGGTAGCTACAACTTGCCCCTGACAGGGATGGAGGAAGAAAGAAGAGAAAGCTAATGTGTCAAATGTCTACATCACTATTTTGTTTTATTTTTTAAACAACATTTTAAGTGTATTAGGATGTTCCCTGATACTTGAACAATTTGTTTCTTTCATTTGCATTTATATATGTATATGTATATATATGTGTGTGTATGTGTGTGTGTATATATGTATGGTATGTATGTATGTATGTGTGTGCGCCAAATTCTGAAGAAACATCTTGATACATTTTTAATAAACGTAATACAAATAAAATTATAAATATAAAATTGCACAAGACGTGTGTATATATGAAATGTATAATCATCTCACTCATGTCTTGCTGTTTGTGCAATTGATTTTGTTCAAGTTTATTTAAAAATAAGTTTGACTTGTTTGTTTATTATTATTTTAATGTTTTATTAAAAAATGTTTCAAGATGTTTCTTCAGAATTCTGCAGTACTTTTTACAAGTTTGACTTGTATATTTTACGGATTGTCATTGGTATTTTTAATATGTTTCTTGCTATATCTTAAATTGGTTTCTATATTTAGGTTTATATAAAATTTAGCTGTTTGTACAAATTTTTAATTCAAGTCTATTGGGAAAACAGGGTTGTTTTAAAAACATCTGTGTTTGTGTGTAATTTTTAGATTTTTTGTTTAAATCTTTCTGTGTGTCTTTGTGTTTTATTGTTGTTTTTATATTTATTCTTGTGCACTACAAAATTATTTATAAAATTTTAGTACTATTTTTTTTTTCTTGCAATCAATAAACGTTTAACATTTATTTATTTTGTCATTTGTCTGATTATTTTCGTTACAGAATATGTATGCAGTTTGCACTTTATTCAAAGGTTAAACACGGTGCTTACACTTTGTGTTTACATTATAGCCTGTGTTTGCTGTTGTATAAATTCAAATGGTTGTAATACCATATATCAAGTACCAATGTAATACTAAAAGGTTTTATAAGGTGTATAAATACGGAGTCGCGCCAGCTCCGGGCCGCAGCGCACATTACCCTCGCGCCGATTCTGGCGCGGATGCGCAGCGTCGGCTCGCTTACGGCCGCCGCATCTGGCCCGCTTGAGTCCACAGGCATCCGGCCCGAGTCCGGCAGCTGGAGTTGGGCCGAGGGGTAAGTCTTCGGCAGGCGACAATCTAGCCGGAACTGGCCCGAGTGTATTTTGCTATCTGGGAAAGTGATGCAATTATCAGTTTCACAGCATGGGGTGTCTATTGTTTACTCTTTTTCAATCAAATGGTCAGGAGGTTTTGTCTCCAGAACATAAGATCAGGCCGGAAAAAGCAGTTTACCCTGCCGACCACAACTATTAATTTGCATGCTTTGTTTAGCTAAATCCCCTCCTCCTAAGAACACAATATAGCCATGAAATCTTTGTCTTAATTCAGACTTGTGTGAGACTTGTGAAAGACTTGTGAAAGAACTTGCAGACTGCGGGCCTCTAGTAGGCTCTTGCAGACACATTGGAAATCTAAAAGACGCTGTATGTCTGCAGATTAACCAACACGTCTCAATAAAGGAATTCTGCTTGTTTCGAGTCTCCTGGACTGGGTTCTCTTCTTTTTCACTCATTTATTTTTTTTTACAACAGTTCACAAAAACGAGACGAGAAAAAAAAAACCTAAGTGTTCTTAAAACCCAAAAACCTACAAAAACAAACCAGGTTTTCTTTCTACTTGAGGTCATTTCTTTGGTATTTCTGGTCTATTTTGGGTCATTTCACTTATTTTGGTTATTTTACAAACAAACAAACCTGGTTTTCTTTCTCAATAAGGTCATTTCATTTGGTATTTCTGGTCTATTTTGGGTCATTTCACTTATTTTGGTTATTTTACAAACAAAAAACAAACAAACCTGGTTTTCTTTCTCAATAAGGTCATTTCATTTGGTATTTCTGGTCTATTTTGGGTCATTTCACTTATTTTGGTTATTTTACAAACAAACAAACAAACAAACAAACAAACCTGGTTTTCTTTCTCAATAAGGTCATTTCTTTGGTATTTCTGGTCTATTTTGGGTCATTTCACTTATTTTGGTTATTTTACAAACAAAAAACAAACAAACCTGGTTTTCTTTCTCAATAAGGTCATTTCATTTGGTATTTCATTTAACTTATTTTGGTTATTTTACAAACAAACAAACCTGGTTTTCTTTCTCAATAAGGTCATTTCATTTGGTATTTCTGGTCTATTTTGGGTCATTTCACTTATTTTGGTTATTTTACAAACAAAAAACAAACAAACCTGGTTTTCTTTCTCAATAAGGTCATTTCATTTGGTATTTCTGGTCTATTTTGGGTCATTTCACTTATTTTGGTTATTTTACAAACAAACAAACAAACAAACAAACAAACTTGGTTTTCTTTCTACTTGAGGTCATTTCTTTGGTATTTCTGGTCTATTTTGGGTCATTTCACTTATTTTGGTTATTTTACAAACAAACAAACCTGGTTTTCTTTCTCAATAAGGTCATTTCATTTGGTATTTCTGGTCTATTTTGGGTCATTTCACTTATTTTGGTTATTTTACAAACAAAAAACAAACAAACCTGGTTTTCTTTCTCAATAAGGTCATTTCATTTGGTATTTCTGGTCTATTTTGGGTCATTTCACTTATTTTGGTTATTTTACAAACAAAAAACAAACAAACCTGGTTTTCTTTCTCAATAAGGTCATTTCATTTGGTATTTCTGGTCTATTTTGGGTCATTTCACTTATTTTGGTTATTTTACAAACAAAAAACAAACAAACCTGGTTTTCTTTCTCAATAAGGTCATTTCATTTGGTATTTCTGGTCTATTTTGGGTCATTTCACTGAATTTGGTTATTTTACAATCAAACAAACCTGGTTTTCTTTCTCAATAAGGTTACTAACCCTTCCTCTATGTAAATTTCCTTTTGCTTGATGCGTGAACTCAGTAGGGTCTTTCCCTGCGCTCCTGACGATGATCCCTGTTGAGAGAGCAAAAGAAACGATCTCTATATGCACCCCAAGCACTAAAGCACTTTGCATTTTGTTAACATTTGCAACATGTGATGCTCACCTCATTTTCATCTTGCCTGGGGGTCCCATGCCTCTTCTGCCTCTGTCCATGGGAGGACCACACCTGCTACCTCCTCTGAATCCGCCCCTATCCATCCCACCACGGCCTCTGAAGCCTCCGCGATCTCCTCCCCAGCCTCCACGCATTCCTTCCGACCCACCACGGTCCATGCCCCTGCCGCCCCTCATGCCACCCCTGCCACGTTCACCTCCTTAAACACAGTTTAAACCACAAACTCAGACACAAGTAGAGATTACTAATCACAGCTAACAGATTTTGAATCAGAAAGTACCTGGATAAAAGGGAGGAGAAGTTCCAAGGCCTTCGGGTTTTGGAGCTTTACACTGGTTACACTCCATTCTCCAGGAGAAGTTCTGATTTCCACAACCACTAAAAAAATATTAATTTAGATTCATGCATATTTACCAGCCAAAACAATTCATCTAGTACGATGGATCTCTCACACGTTAGGACATTCCCAGTCTCCAGCTCTTTTCTGCACATTTCCTGGTTGAGGGCCACCGTTCCAGCCCATTCCACCTCGAGGGCCACCACGCGGGGGAAAGCCGCCTCTCTCGCCTCCTCTGCCCATCATTCCTGCATTGCACAAAGTCATTAATAAACAAACACCTTCTGGTTGAACGTCACTTGATGCCTTGGGGGTTTATCATACCTCCACGATCCATTCCAGGGCCACCTCGCATTGGCATTCCTCCTCTCATTCCCCCAATCATGGGCTTCCGGCGGGCCATAGAGACCTTTAATCTCCTGCCCTGAAACTCCTTTCCTTTTTTTTTTAAATGTAAAGTACAGATAATAAATTCAAGTAGCAGAATAAAAAATCCAAAGTTATGGCAATATGATAAAAGCAGCAAACAAACCATCAAAATGTTCAACTGCAGGTTTGGCAAATGCAGGTTCCTCATAGGACAGTGTGGCATCCCCCTTTGGCTTGCCGCTGTCTTTATCTGTATAGATGTTGATGGCTGGTTGATTTAAACGCCGATTTATCTGCAAGAGAGATACCAAAGTCATCATTAAAACAGTCTAACCAGTTATTCAGAATTAACCACCTAGATTCATATTTTCTCACCCGAATTGCTCCAGTGTGCTTGAAAAACTCAGCCATCTCTGGTAGAGTGGCATTCTCAGTGAGACCTGTGATATAGATGGTGCTGTTCTCAGAGTCCTGCTCTCCTGGATGGCCTGTGTGTTTAAGAAAAAGATTTAGCTACAATTCTACATTTGCTGTAAATCAGGGTAACTGAAATGCTGCAGAATATTAGAGAACATCCATATTGAAAATGATCCATATTGAAATTGGCTTTTTAATTTCTCAGCATTACTGTATAGAACAGCATTTGAATTATCACAATAAGGCTTTCCCATCTCTTTATTAGTTCAATGAATTTTAATAGTCTAAACAGAGTGCATGAAAACAAGTGAAAACGTACCCATATCACGATCCATTCCACCCCTCATGGGTCCTGGGTTTCGGCAAAAATCAAAGAAAAACAAGAAACCCTATTAGTAAATGATATCATGACTTACAAAAAAAAAAAAACCTGACAACCTGCCAATAAAAAAAAAAACTGAGCAGAATTAAATGCATTGAAAAAATGTGACCATTTTCAGGATTACCCTGGACCACAATTGATTCTCAGAATGAAATGGAAATGTCAAATGTAGAATTAAAAAAGACGCTTTTTCAAAGGACACGTCAACTTTTGAAGAAATACAAATATATACACACCAAATATAAACCACCAGAACACAGTTGTAGTTTTTTTTTTTAAAAAGTGGCAAAAGTGGCACACCAAATGAAAGGTTTTAAGGACACATAGGCGTGAATAGCCTCTATATTAAATGTCGAGTGGACTAACCAATGGATAACGCTTTAGAAACTTACCACCAGGCTTATTGAAGCCCCCTCTGTCTCCAGCGATGCTAAACATGAAGATATGAAGGCGATATTCCATTTAGTCTCCAACCATAGGACTTGAGTAGGAAATGAACACAAAATCCCCTCTCTAACTATGCAAAGGTCTCATGTAATATTTCACAATATTTTGTTAATTACTGGAACAGCTTTATGATTTCTATACATTCTTCAGTTGCAAAATTTAACATATTGTAGGCACCAACCAATCTTTTAAGGATAATATGGTCTGTGACTTGTTCGTTTCTATACATTCTTCAGTTGCAAAAATTAACATATAAACAACAACACAGGACCAGAAAGACATTGACTTGCTGTAAACCTTTTGCAAAGTGGGAAAAATTATGAAGTTAGCGTAATGCCTTATTCTTTTGGGTTACAACCAAACAGAAAATACGGCAATCTTGTGGCAAAAAAATCTTTAGCAATCTGAACCCAAATTAACCCAATAAAAAGGTCAGCATTGAACAAAACAGTACATTCAAAAATACTGAGCACAAATTAACATTTACAAAGGGTGATCCAAGGAGAAAAAAAAATACATTTCACAAATATGCTGACTAAAACAAAATGTTCCAAAACAGTAGGTAAATTCAACAACAACAAAAAAAATCCCTAAATCAAAAACGTTCCCCATGGTTCGAGTTGTTGCCTTTGAAAAAAGGTACTTAAGAATAAGTACTGCTGTTCTTCGATCTTTGATACCTGCAGCATATAAATGTGACAATGTTAAAAACAAGACCTTTGAAATAAGAAACAGTTCACAAGTGCAAAAATATTTAAGAACATGAAAATGTATCAATTTTAATATAAAAATTGTGTAAAATGGCATGCTCACCGTCCCCTGAAATAAAATTCAATAGGAACACAATTTTGATGAACACATCTTATTTCGTTTACAAACAATGATTAGTTTTATGGGTTAATAAAAAGCACCTACTGGGAAGCACTTAAAAAGTTGCTTTCACAAAATAAAATTCTTACCTCGTTAAAGAAAGTACATCACTGTGTCCGTTAAATATCCAAGGATTGTCTTCAAGGTTACTCCAACCATTTCTTTAAATGCCTTTTAAACTGAACCAACTGTACAACTTGCACTGACCCTCTTAAAACCTGATCATGATCCGCATACTCTTAATACAACAATTTCCTTTTAAATATAAAACCCAGCAAGGATAAAACTTCAAAACCCAGAATTGTGCCACCATCTGCCAAAGAAAAAATTTCAGGGAAAACTACCAAATTCTCAGTTGTCTTCATGTGTTTGCCAAGTTTTCCTTTACCCACAAAGACCTAAAAGCAGTACTGTACAAAGCCTTAAACAGTCAAACCAAAGGGTTCTGTTAGTGGACATCTTGAATTACAGAAAAACCACACCTCAAAACAACCTTAAATATGAATTATAGAAAGAAACTTAAAAAAAAAAAAAAAAAAAATGAATACACAAAATGCAAAAACTGTAAACTTGAGAGAAAAAAACCTATCCCGAAATATGCGTTTAATAAGGGTGCCCAAACTCTGTCCTGGAGGGCTGTTGTCCTGCATAGTTTAGCTCCAACCTCAACACTCCTACCTGGATTTTTCAAGTATATCCAAAAAGAGCTTAATTAGCTGGCTCAGGTCTGTCTAATTGGGGTTGAAACTAAACTCTGCATCACCAGGTTTCGGCATCCCTGTACTAAAATTACCCCATAAATAAAAACAAATAGCTACAATAAATGAACCCAAAGTAAACTCTGCAACAACACCCTTGTGGTCATAAAAACCTCTACAAATCAAATAATGTTTGGACGAGCTACAGAAGAAACTTCACTCTTTAGACGCCTGCACATACAAACCCTGGAGGTGGTGATGATACACTCAGTAAAATGAGCGAGAGGGAGAACAAATGAACTGTTAGTTAGACTAAGAATGTTTGAACTTACCCCATGCCACCGCCGCCCATACCACGGCCTCGAGGACCTCCACGGCCATATCCATCTCGGCCACCATCCTGGTATCCACCACGCTGTGACCCTGGGTAACCTCCGCTCACGCCACCCTGGCTGTAACTGTCTACAGGAAAGATTGCACACTAAGCACCGGGCTCAGTACTTGATGAATAACTGGAAACACTACCAGTGGAATATGGACTTACTATAAGGGTTTTGCTGGTAATCATTCTGTGGCGCACTCTGTTGGCCGTACTGAGTCTGTGCATAGGAACTGCTCCCCTGAGGAGGGTAGGCAGCTGGCGGGCCTTGCTGGTGCTGTTGAGGTAGTTGTCCCTGTCCATAAGCACTCTGCTGTTGTTGTCCATAGCCCGGTTGCTGAGCCTGGTATCCTGGCTGAGAATAGCCTGCAGGCTGCGAATAGGCACTTTGGTTGTAGGCCGGCTGGCTGCTTGCACTGTAACTAGGAAAATTTAATACATTAAGGAATACATGCTACCAAATTTTTAAATCATTTAGATGTCAATAAAAATATCAAATTGAAGAAAATGGCAATTTATTTTTAATTTAGGTATTATTTTAGTAAAATTCAAATAAACTTAATTTACCATTCAAATTCACCTAGACACTTTCTATACATTAATTTTTATTTTAAATAAGAATGTATAAGAGGCTTGTTTCAAAATTATTTTGGGCTCGGATTTGTATGACACTGAACAGGCTTGACAAAACAACATTAGAATGGAAGGGTAATTGCTACTTTGCACATTAAACAGACTTGATGTTTTTCACCACAAAAAGCAGAACTGTGAGATAGAAGCTGTGTTCAGGTTCACGCAGCGTGAGGGTAGAACAGCATATGGAGATACTGCAGAAGGCTGCATTTCTGCATTCTGTTGATGTGCTACTCTAGGAGATGGTCCAGTTACCTCTGAGGAGCGGAGGGAGCAGGCTGCTGGCTGTAGCCAGAATAGGCCGGCTGGGTGGAGCATCCGGGCTGAGAGCCATAGGAAGCCTGAGCAGCAGGGGCAGCAGTGGAGCCGGTGTAGCTGCTGGCCCTGTAACTCTGTGCAGGCTGAGTATAGGCTCCTGGCTGTGGAGTTCCATATGCAGCTGAGGAGAACAGTTACCTAAAATTAGCTAAAGTAATCATTTTCTGTATGCACCTGAATAAACAGCATTACCACACAAGCAGGAGAGCAAAATAAGGAAAGCAAAAGTGAACGAGTCTAACTTGAAGAGGTGAGGACTACATGTTTTACACAGGGTGTTCACCAGCACTGTAGTGCCAAAAAAGGTTTAAATTCTGCTGTTTTGTGTATAAGCCATTAGGGCTGCATGATTAATCGGAAAAAGATTACGATCTCAATTCGACCCCACACAATCTTAATTCTGCTTTTTCTACGATACAGCCAATTATATTTTTAAGGTCAGGAGCGAAGCAAGGCAGTCGCACAAGTCTTCACAACAACATCAACTCCTTCAAAAGGCGTTCAAAGTGTCACATACTGTATTACAGCTAACAGATTTTGAATCAGAAAGTACCTGGATAAAAGGGAGGAGAAGTTCCAAGGCCTTCGGGTTTTGGAGCTTTACACAGGTTACACTCCATTCTCCAGGAGAAGTTCTGATTTCCACAACCACTAAAAAAAAATATTAATTTAGATTCATGCATATTTACCAGCCAAAACAATTCATCTAGTACGATGGATCTCTCACGCGTTAGGACATTCCCAGTCTCCAGCTCTTTTCTGCACATTTCCTGGTTGAGGGCCGCCGTTCCAGCCCATATCACGATCCATTCCACCCCTCATGGGTCCTTCAAAAGGCGTTGAAAGTGTCACATACTGTATTTATTATTAAGGTATAACTCACCCAAAAACGTAATTTCGGTCTAAATGTAATGATGTATTCGCAGCCGCGAAATCACACGCGAAGTGACCCCAGCTGTTTGTTTACTTTTGAGAACATGCACGCCAATGGCGCATACTTGAGTGAACAGAACCTGCATAGGCTGCGAGCAACAGGTAATTAAGTTGTAAATAACATTCAGTTTGTTGCACGGAGCGATTGTTTGCGGGCCGTGCGATTCGCATGCATGTGTTTTTTTCTCATTGACAGCAGCCATGAAAGTGAAATTGAAACCTGTGTGCACATCATTTAAATGATCATATAGTATTTAAGAGTTAGGTTTAGCATTTTTTTTCTTTCATAGCGAACAATGTTGTGCATAAAAATGAATGTTTGTGTCAGTATAACAACCCTAGCCTATATACACTGTTAAATGTAATGCAAGAAATCTGATAACGACAAAATTCCAATTTTACCAGTGAAAACAAATGGTCTAATAATGTTGTCAATGGCAGATGACAAGCACATGTCTTTAACATAAATCAACTTTATAATTATGAATAGCTATTTTTTTTACTGTGAATTAACAAACAGGATATATTGAAAGTCTGTTCAAGTCCACCATAATACATAAACAAAACTTTGCATTTTAAGCAACAGTATACCTACACATCAGCCTAATATTATTATTGTTGTTTTACCATGTTTGAGAATTAACAATAATAAGCCTATTCGTATTAACCTTTATTTTAAAACAGAAAAATAACAATCTTGATTTCAAGCAAAAAAAAAAAAAAAAAAAAAAGGGGATTCACATTTTTGCCACTTTCTACAAAATAACCATCTTTAGAGAAACGGTCCATGTGACCCACTGAAAAGTAGGTTCAATATGGGGCTTTAGAACTTTGCTTGTTAACCCAGTGTTATTTAAGTAAATGAAATCCTGGGATGTGTGTGCAACTTTGTATTTCAACCCAAGATAAAGTTCTAATGTGTGGCTTTAATGTCAGTACCTTAAGTATTTGCACATTGCGTTAAAATTTGTACACTGTAAAAATCTATTTTCTTTAGGGAACAGTAAATTTAAGAATATTAAAGTAACAACAGTGAAACTTAATTAAATTGGTTAAATTTGGACGAACAAACTATGCATGAAACACAAATGTAAATTCGCACCTCCTTGTGATACAAACGTTATATAAACTATTCCAGCAATGGTAAGTTTAATATATTGTGCAGTCGAAGCCCTACTTGATTTTCCTACATAAATGCCAAAATAACAGTTTATACAAATTACAATGTTTCCACCACTGCGTCCCCAAGGATCCAGACTTATTGTTTACTGCTAAGCACCAATCTGTTGAATTCTAACACCCTTTATAAATGATAGGCATGACATTTGTCTGCAGTAAAGATTCAGAACAATTATAAATCAGCATTACAAATTAGTCATGGGTGGAGTAAAATCCATTAAAATAAAAAACGTGCAGTCTCGCTCCAGCCATTTTCATTAACAGACAAATACACTGAATAAGCACCTGGTGCTGCAGCCGCTGTTGCGGCTGCTTGCCCGTATGTAGATCCGTATTGCTGTTGCGCATACGCTCCAGCAGCGGGCGCTGCCTGACTGTAGGTGGCCTCAGGTGCAGCAGCGGGTTGAGCATAGGAGCTGTAACCTTGCTGAGTATATCCCTGCTGCAAAAAAACTAAACAAAAAAAAAAAGGTTATTAATTATATGCCTTTGTTTCTATTTTACACAAAACAATACATTAGACTGCTACATAGATGACTGCTAAATTTAGAGAAAAAAATCTAAACTTTTTTCTAACAGTAAAAAATGTATTATATTCTAACTAACAGGCTCTACAAAATGCTTTAAGGCCCTAATGGTCTACTGACTTTGAGTAGTGTTAAGCAAATAATGTCAGCCATGTAAATGTGCTAAGTTACATGTTGTGAAGTGATTGTACCTGTGCAGTCGGTCCATATGTCTGAGCAGGAGGTGCTGTGTATGAGCCATACCTGCATAAAAAATAAACATTTTATTTTAACAATTCATACCCAAGCACTATGTTTAGAGTTTAGTAATCAATCGAGGTGGACTTACGACTGCTGTGCTCCAGCTTGGTTGTAGCTGCTATAATCTACGGTGAAATAAATCATTACAAAAGTTAGACGACCTGCAAACTGCTGACTGGACATTCAGGGTTTATTATGGTCCAATAACGACGCAGGACTTGGGCAAACACAACAACAGACAAAGAAGAGCAGTCTCTTTTGAATTCCAGCCATTCGGTTGGAACAAACCTTGCATCAACAAGACAGATTTGGCTATTAAAGCATTGAAACTATTTCAGGACACACGAGTTCAGAACAATGAGTGACCACGCTTACGTTAGGGTTCAGCTAACACATTAAACAGTGCAAACTTTAAAGTTTTACTCGTTAACTTTACATTTACAGATGAAAATGAGTAATAATATAAAAAAATGCTTACATGAATTTAAATTTAAATGTCTTTATACAAAAACGCTAAACAAAGAAAACTAAACATTTTGTTCGTCATGCGCACTCAATCCCGCTGTTTTTAAACCACGCCTGCTACCATTTACGAAACAACGAGCCGAGCGTGAAACATTAAAAACACGAGAAAAACGCATCAAAAGTAAACTATTTGATTCTAAAGTGAGCTAGTGTTGTTTTTATTGAATACATGGTAATGTAATGTAATGTATTTTTATTTAGTGCCATGTCAGCAACCAAGGCTATCTTCATGGCAAGAATCTTTCAACAATAAATATACAATTTAAAAATCAACAAACAAAATAAAACATAAATTAAATAAGATTTTTTGTGTTAATACATGATAAAAATTCTAAAATCTTTTCTGGTTCCACTTTGTTAAAAATGTCCTTAAAAGAGTTTATTTCATAAAAAGTCCTTCTGGAATCAGTAAAAGCAGGACAGTCCAGTAAAATATGTTTTACAGTGATAGGAGTTTTGCAGCACAAACACTGAGTGGGGTTTTCACCTTGGAGCAAAAAACCATGTGTAATTCTCGTATGCCCAATACGGCATCTGGTAAAAACTACTTGATCAAATCGATTCTTAAAATGTCTTAAAATTCTGTGTGAAACTTCAGGTTGGATTTCATGTAGTTTATTGTTTTCTAATGCATCCCATTCCTTTTGCCACTTGTTTAAAATGCAAGCGTTGATAAAAGGTTTCATCTCTGACGGAGGAATTTGGCATTTGTTCACTACTTGCTTCAAAGCATCTTTAGCAGCTGCATCAGCTCGCTCATTGCCTAAAAGCCCGACATGTCCAGGAACCCAGCAAAAAATGATGTGATAAAACTGATTTTGTAGTTGGTGAACTTTAGTTAAAATATTATCAATCAAAGGATGATCATTTGTTGAAGATTCCATAAATTGGAGGCATGATTTAGAGTCTGTGAAAATGATGGATTTCTTTTGTTGTGCATTTTCTATGTACTCCAATGCTAAAAGTAAAGCGCGGGCTTCAGCTGTGAATATGGAGCATTCTTTAGGTAGACTGATTCCATGACTTTGTTCCCCTGTCACCATTGCTGCTGCTACATTACTTTCCATCTTTGAACCATCTGTGAAGATTGGTATGTGCTGAGAATATTGAGTTCTGATATCCAGGTATTGTTGTTTGTACATATTGGGATGAGTAACTCCTTTCTTCTGGTGTCCTAGCTCCATATTGATTATAGGCATCTTTAAATTCCAGGGAGGCAATGAGTTGAAGTGTATTTGTTTTAAAATGTCCAGGTTTAAATTTAGATTTTGTAAGTGTGAATTGATACGTAAACCAAATGGTCTGATGGTTTTTGGCTTACTTTCATATAATTGTACAAACAGAGGTTCGAAAACTGCATTATAGGCTGGGTTATTCTTATTTGCCTTTAGTTTGATAGCATATTGTAATGAAAGTTTCAGCCGTCTATTTTGAAGTGAGGGTTCGTTAGCTTCAATGTACAGACTCTGAACGGGTGATGTTCTGAATGCTCCTAAAGCAAGCCGTAATCCTTGATGGTGGACTGTATTGAGGATTTGTTTATAAGATTTCCTGGCAGAGTCATAAATTATGCTTCCATAATCCAAACGAGATCGAATGAGTACTCTGTACAATCGTAAAAGTACAGTTAAGTCAGCACCCCAATTTGTTTTTGCCAACACTTTAATTATGTTCATAGCTTTGAGGCACTTGTTTTTCAAAAATTTTAAATGAGGGATAAAAGTCATTTTGTTATCAAAAAGGAGACCTAAAAACTTGATTTCTTTAACAACTTTGATCATATTTCCATTGATAAAAAGTTCTGGATCATGATGAAGTGATCGCTGGATACAAAAATGTGTACAAACAGTTTTTGTTTTAGAGAACTTAAAACCATTTTCGACAGCCCACTGGTTAATTTTGTGAATATTTAACTGCAATTGCCTTTCAATTGTATTCATGTTCTTCCCTCTGTAACAGATACATAAATCATCCACGTAGATGCTGCAGAACATATTTGGAGCAATGATTTCCACAATGCTATTTATTTTAATACTGAAGAGTGTGACCGAGAGTATACTTCCTTGAGGAACTCCGAGTTCTTGTTGGTGGGTATTTGAAAGGGAATTTCCCACTTGGACTCTGAAGTTTCTTCTAGTGAGAAAGTTTGAAATGAAGGTAGGAAGTTTTCCTCTAAATCCCATTTGGTGAAGATCTTTTAAAATTCCATATCTCCATGTTGTGTCATAAGCTTTTTCTAAATCAAAGAAAACAGCAACAACATGTTCTTTTCTGATGAATCCATCTCTGATATAAGTTTCTAGTCGGATTAACTGATCCAATGTACTCTTTCCACGTCTAAATCCACACTGGTAGTCAGTTAGTTGTTTGTTTTTTTCCAGTGTCCAGACAAGACGGTTGTTAATCATTCTTTCCATCGTTTTACATAAACAACTGGTCAGAGCAATTGGTCTGTAGTTATTTGGATCAGTGTGGTCTTTTCCTGGTTTAGGTATAGCTATTACTGTTGCTTCTTTCCACGAAGCTGGAATTTTTCCCGAAGACCAGATGTTGTTGAACTCGTCCAGTAGTAGGCATAGTGAACTATATGGTAAGTGTTTTAAAAACTGGTAATGGATTTTATCTGGTCCAATGGCTGTATCATGTGAGCATTCTAAAGAATTTATTAATTCTTTAATTTTAAAAGGTTGATTATATACTTCTTTGTTGTCAGAATAAAAATTTAGTTCTTTGCATTCCTGCTGTGCTCGTATGATTTGAAATGCTGGGAGGCAGTTCTCTATTGATGAATTCTTTTCGAAGGCTTCAGCTAATGTATTTGCTATGTCCATTTCCTTTGTTTGAAGTATTCCTTGTTTTATAATATGTTGTATGCGAGTTCCATTTTCCTTTCCCTTCATTTTACGAATCATGTTCCAAATCTTCTTCATGGGAGTATAGTAAGTTAAGCTGGATACAAATTGTTTCCAGCTTTGTTTCTTTGCTTCATTTAGGGTTCTGCGAGCTTGGGCTCTACAAATCTTAAAATGGATAAAATTTGTAGTTGTTGGATGTTTATTAAAAGCACGCTCTGCTTTTTTCCGAGTTTCAATAGCTTTTTTACATTGTTCATTAAACCAGGGATTTGTCTTTCATTGTGGTTTTGTTGATGTCTTTGGGATGGTTTCATCTGCTATAGCGATTAACTGCTGAGTGAAGTCTTCTATTGAGTTCTGATTATCTTGGGTAGCTGACATAAATTTTTCACAACACATGGTTTGAAAGGTGGTCCAGTCTGCTTTCTTGAGTTGCCATCTTGAAGGTCTACTTGTTACATCCAGTTGTGGAAATGTGAGGATAATTGGGAAGTGGTCACTCCCGCATAGATCATTCCATACTCTCCATGAACAGTCAAGTAAAAGATCAGCACTACATATTGTCAGATCGATTGCTGTATAAGTACCATGTCCTGGATGAAGATATGTTTTGGTTCCATCATTTAAAAGACATAAATCATTTTCTATAAAAGTTTCCATTCTTCTTCCTTTGGCATCACAGTGATCATCACCCCATAAGATGTTGTGGCTGTTAAAATCACCCATCAGTAAAAATGAAGTTGGTAATTGTGAAATAAGTTTGTCCAGTTCTTGAGGTATTACAGCTTCATGAGGTGGGATATAGATAGAGCATATTGTAATTGTTTTATGTAGAGTAAGTTGAACTGCTGTTGCTTGTAATTGAGTGTCCAATACAACTTGACTGTGGATAATGTCGTTTCTCACTAGGATAGCTGATCCTCCAGAGGGTCGTTGTATGTTTGCTCCACATATACTAATCATATTAAAACCTTTAAAAGTTAAGGCATCATTTGGAGATAAGTGGGTTTCCTGAATACAATAGGCAAGTGGGTTAAAAACAGAATTTAAATGCTGTAATTCTGCAAAGTTGGTTTTTAGTCCCCGACAATTCCACTGTATTATGTGATTGTTTATTCTCAAGTGGGAAATATAGGTACAGGTCCTTTATTTTTACATTTAGGTGAGAGACTACGACTACGACTGGTCGTTGTCTCCGTCATTTCAATATCTTTAGGATTGTCATCTTTGTGAGTTCGACATTTATCTTGATTTGGTTGTTGATTTGTTGTACTTGGAGTTTTCTTTTTCACTTTTGATTCTTTCTGTTCTAGGTATGAGTCTTGAATTGGTCCAGTTTGAATGAGTTCATTTTTTGTTTTTTGGGAAGTTGAATTTTTGGTGTTGCTTATGGTTTGAGGTTTGTCTTTGAATAGCCAAGTTAGATCCGTCTGACAACTTATTGATTGAGTTTTTGGTGTGACTGCAACAGAATAGGGCTTTTTCAGACAGAAGGCAGGAAGAGCTTCAACTATTTTACGAGCTTCAGGATAACTCATCTTCCTTGTGTGTTTTATTTTTTGTATTTCTTTCTCTTTATGCCAAATGGGACAATTCTTTGATGAGGCTGCATGATCTCCAAGGCAGTTTTTACATTTAGGAGGTTTTGTGCAGTTCATTCCATGATCATCCTCACCACAGTTTTGACATGTTGTTTTATTTTTGCATCCTGCAGATCCATGAACAAATTTCTGGCATTTAAAACATCTCAGTGGATTTGGTATGAATATATCTACAGCAACACTTAAATATCCAAGTTTGATTTTCTCTGGTGGTTGTGGTCTGTTGAAGGTCAGGATGTATGTTCCCGTTTTAATCATCTGCCCATCCTTTTTGATGATTATTCTTTTTACGTCGATTACACCTATTGGTTTTAATTCTAAAGCGATTTCAGATTCGTCCATATCTTGTAATTCTCTGGTGCGGATTACACCTTTGCTGTTGTTCAGGGTAGAATGAGGGAATGCTTTCAAAGTAATTCCAGCCAAAGTTGTTGCTTGTAGTAAATTTTCTGAGTTAGCTTTCCTAGCACATTCCACCAAAATTTGTCCAGATCGCAGCTTTTTAATGTCTTTTACTGTTCCTGCAATTCCTGTGATTCCTTTGTGGATCGCAAAAGGGGACAGTTTGGTCAGGGGCATGTCATCAGTCAGTGATTCCAGTACAATAAATCTTTGCCAGTTTTCATTTTCAGATGGGAAAATAAAACCAGTTCTTAGTTCAGTCTCCAAGTCTTGTTCCAATATCCGTTTTTTAGTGTTTTGATTTTTTGCCATAATGTTTAGATATTTGTTCTTCATCTCTGCTCCTCACCCACCTCGGAGTCCTACAAGGGGATGTACAGAGCCACGGACATCCACTGGATGTACATCAAGGATACAGTGATGATATACTTGAGCATATAAACACAGGGTCTATAATACTCAATTGACCCTATGCCAGCGCCTTCCGGGAGAAAGGCAAGTCCTGACAAGCCGATTGATTGCAATGGGCCTTTCCAATCTCTCGTCTAGTTGAAGTATGAGCCAAAGTGATGTGTTGGATAATTGATAGCCGCAGCAAATCAAAATCCTCAATCACCAGGATCTCTTCCTCCACCAACACGAGTCGCAACTCACGGCCAACAAGTTGCCCCATTTGTCGCCTCTTACGAACAGCAAGGGGGTGCTAGGGACCTATTCTACCCTGGGTCCCCACAGGGGTATTGAACACATGGAGTTTAAAAACCAAGCTGAGTCGAGTTTTGGAGCGGTAAGCTTCAAACAAACACCTTGACCTAAAAACACAAACTTAAGGCCGCACGCTTGAAAAACGTCGGTTATCTAAACAAAACTCTCTCAAATTCGCAATATAACTTAACATTTACTTAAATATAAGTGCTTAATTTCAGCTGCTAACAAATTAAAGATTCGAATTTCAAACAAGAAAAACGATTTAAAAACTCACTCGTGACTGACGCCATCTTTCCGTTGGAGAACAGTATGCTGTGTGAGGCGCAACGGTGCATGCGCGATAAGTACGCATGCGTGAAAGCAAAACGGAGCGTACCAACAAGACAACGATTATAGAGGGTGGCAGACAGAAATATGTTTCTAAATATTAACCTTTTATTCACCTTAAAATTTTACAATTAATTCGATAAATTGTTGAATACTACAAATCCTTTCAGTGTATTATATCAACATGTTGATTCCTGAATACACAATTATAACGTTCACAAAACAAATCCGTAACCCCCCAAAGTGAATACGCTCTCCTGTTATAGGAAGTTACCCTTCCTCTATGTAAATTTCCTTTTGCTTGATGCGTGAACTCAGTAGGGTCTTTCCCTGCGCTCCTGACGATGATCCCTGTTGAGAGAGCAAAAGAAACGATCTCTATATGCACCCCAAGCACTAAAGCACTTTGCATTTTGTTAACATTTGCAACATGTGATGCTCACCTCATTTTCATCTTGCCTGGGGGTCCCATGCCTCTTCTGCCTCTGTCCATGGGAGGACCACACCTGCTACCTCCTCTGAATCCGCCCCTATCCATCCCACCACGGCCTCTGAAGCCTCCGCGATCTCCTCCCCAGCCTCCACGCATTCCTCCCGACCCACCACGGTCCATGCCCCTGCCGCCCCTCATGCCACCCCTGCCACGTTCACCTCCTTAAACACAGTTTAGACCACAAACTCAGACACAAGTAGAGATTACTAATCACAGCTAACAGATTTTGAATCAGAAAGTACCTGGATAAAAGGGAGGAGAAGTTCCAAGGCCTTCGGGTTTTGGAGCTTTACACTGGTTACACTCCATTCTCCAGGAGAAGTTCTGATTTCCACAACCACTAAAAAAAAATATTAATTTAGATTCATGCATATTTACCAGCCAAAACAATTCATCTAGTACGATGGATCTCTCACGCGTTAGGACATTCCCAGTCTCCAGCTCTTTTCTGCACATTTCCTGGTTGAGGGCCGCCGTTCCAGCCCATATCACGATCCATTCCACCCCTCATGGGTCCTTCAAAAGGCGTTGAAAGTGTCACATACTGTATTTATTATTAAGGTATAACTCACCCAAAAACGTAATTTCGGTCTAAATGTAATGATGTATTCGCAGCCGCGAAATCACACGCGAAGTGACCCCAGCTGTTTGTTTACTTTTGAGAACATGCACGCCAATGGCGCATACTTGAGTGAACAGAACCTGCATAGGCTGCGAGCAACAGGTAATTAAGTTGTAAATAACATTCAGTTTGTTGCACGGAGCGATTGTTTGCGGGCCGTGCGATTCGCATGCATGTGTTTTTTTCTCATTGACAGCAGCCATGAAAGTGAAATTGAAACCTGTGTGCACATCATTTAAATGATCATATAGTATTTAAGAGTTAGGTTTAGCATTTTTTTTCTTTCATAGCGAACAATGTTGTGCATAAAAATGAATGTTTGTGTCAGTATAACAACCCTAGCCTATATACACTGTTAAATGTAATGCAAGAAATCTGATAACGACAAAATTCCAATTTTACCAGTGAAAACAAATGGTCTAATAATGTTGTCAATGGCAGATGACAAGCACATGTCTTTAACATAAATCAACTTTATAATTATGAATAGCTATTTTTTTTACTGTGAATTAACAAACAGGATATATTGAAAGTCTGTTCAAGTCCACCATAATACATAAACAAAACTTTGCATTTTAAGCAACAGTATACCTACACATCAGCCTAATATTATTATTGTTGTTTTACCATGTTTGAGAATTAACAATAATAAGCCTATTCGTATTAACCTTTATTTTAAAACAGAAAAATAACAATCTTGATTTCAAGCAAAAAAAAAAAAAAAAGGGGATTCACATTTTTGCCACTTTCTACAAAATAACCATCTTTAGAGAAACGGTCCATGTGACCCACTGAAAAGTAGGTTCAATATGGGGCTTTAGAACTTTGCTTGTTAACCCAGTGTTATTTAAGTAAATGAAATCCTGGGATGTGTGTGCAACTTTGTATTTCAACCCAAGATAAAGTTCTAATGTGTGGCTTTAATGTCAGTACCTTAAGTATTTGCACATTGCGTTAAAATTTGTACACTGTAAAAATCTATTTTCTTTAGGGAACAGTAAATTTAAGAATATTAAAGTAACGACAGTGAAACTTAATTAAATTGGTTAAATTTGGACGAACAAACTATGCATGAAACACAAATGTAAATTCGCACCTCCTTGTGATACAAACGTTATATAAACTATTCCAGCAATGGTAAGTTTAATATATTGTGCAGTCGAAGCCCTACTTGATTTTCCTACATAAATGCCAAAATAACAGTTTATACAAATTACAATGTTTCCACCACTGCGTCCCCAAGGATCCAGACTTATTGTTTACTGCTAAGCACCAATCTGTTGAATTCTAACACCCTTTATAAATGATAGGCATGACATTTGTCTGCAGTAAAGATTCAGAACAATTATAAATCAGCATTACAAATTAGTCATGGGTGGAGTAAAATCCATTAAAATAAAAAACGTGCAGTCTCGCTCCAGCCATTTTCATTAACAGACAAATACACTGAATAAGCACCTGGTGCTGCAGCCGCTGTTGCGGCTGCTTGCCCGTATGTAGATCCGTATTGCTGTTGCGCTGACGCTCCAGCAGCGGGCGCTGCCTGACTGTAGGTGGCCTCAGGTGCAGCAGCGGGTTGAGCATAGGAGCTGTAACCTTGCTGAGTATATCCCTGCTGCAAAAAAAAAAAACAAAAAAAAAAAGGTTATTAATTATATGCCTTTGTTTCTATTTTACACAAAACAATACATTAGACTGCTACATAGATGACTGCTAAATTTAGAGAAAAAAATCTAAACTTTTTTCTAACAGTAAAAAATGTATTATATTCTAACTAACAGGCTCTACAAAATGCTTTAAGGCCCTAATGGTCTACTGACTTTGAGTAGTGTTAAGCAAATAATGTCAGCCATGTAAATGTGCTAAGTTACATGTTGAGAAGTGATTGTACCTGTGCAGCCGGTCCATATGTCTGAGCAGGAGGTGCTGTGTATGAGCCATACCTGCGTAAAAAATAAACATTTTATTTTAACAATTCATACCCAAGCACTATGTTTAGAGTTTAGTAATCAATCGAGGTGGACTTACGACTGCTGTGCTCCAGCTTGGTTGTAGCTGCTATAATCTACGGTGAAATAAATCATTACAAAAGTTAGACGACCTGCAAACTGCTGACTGGACATTCAGGGTTTATTATGGTCCAATAACGACGCAGGACTTGGGCAAACACAACAACAGACAAAGAAGAGCAGTCTCTTTTGAATTCCAGCCATTCGGTTGGAACAAACCTTGCATCAACAAGACAGATTTGGCTATTAAAGCATTGAAACTATTTCAGGACACACGAGTTCAGAACAATGAGTGACCACGCTTACGTTAGGGTTCAGCTAACACATTAAACAGTGCAAACTTTAAAGTTTTACTCGTTAACTTTACATTTACAGATGAAAATGAGTAATAATATAAAAAAATGCTTACATGAATTTAAATTTAAATGTCTTTATACAAAAACGCTAAACAAAGAAAACTAAACATTTTGTTCGTCATGCGCACTCAATCCCGCTGTTTTTAAACCACGCCTGCTACCATTTACGAAACAACGAGCCGAGCGTGAAACATTAAAAACACGAGAAAAACGCATCAAAAGTAAACTATTTGATTCTAAAGTGAGCTAGTGTTGTTTTTATTGAACACATGGAGTTTAAAAACCAAGCTGAGTCGAGTTTTGGAGCGGTAAGCTTCAAACAAACACCTTGACCTAAAAACACAAACTTAAGGCCGCACGCTTGAAAAACGTCGGTTATCTAAACAAAACTCTCTCAAATTCGCAATATAACTTAACATTTACTTAAATATAAGTAGGGATGGCTGACGTGAAACTGATGTTTCGACACAGTGTCGAGATCCCGAAGCGCAAGTGTTTCGAAACACTGCACCGAAGCATGATCCGAAGCACTGAAGTCACGTGACTAAAGTGTTTCGAAACACCTAGTCACGTGACTAAAGCGATTCAAAGCATCGATAAGCTTAGAAACGTTTCGAGACCTGGCGAATCGTCATTTAACTGCCAAGGTCTCCGATTAACCTCTGTCTCATATGGCTTAGAGGACTGTGTGTTTTCTTAATGAGTCTATGTTTTGCATGATGTTTTGGGTTCGAATCCCAACTTGTACAAATTCTCTGAAATCATGGTTTTATGTATTTTAATCATGTTTCTGCTTTGTGTAGCCTAAATAGGATGCAGCTACAGTTATGCCATCAATTTAGCATCATTTTTGTAACACTGTAAAACAATAATAAATATTTTTACAGTATGGTTGGGTTTAGGGTTAGGGTAGACATTAATAAAATACAATAAATGGGAAATTTAATGAATAATATAAATAATTCTTCTTTACTTCAGGCCACCGTTTTTGATCTAGCAACAACCCTGTTTTAAGACAAAAACAAGACATATTTATTCAAAAATTGTTTATTCGGATATCAGACCAATGTTGAAACAAAACGATACAAGAGCAAAGCATTACCAACTGGTATTAAAGCATTTCAAAACAACTGCGGCAGACTGGCTTCGAAACCTACTAACCCTGCATGGAAGTCTGACACCTTAACCACTGTACTATGTTACTTGAGAATAATGTGTACAAAGTTGGGTTTAATGCCTCAATTTGTTTAATCGTTCTTTGCTGAAGCTGTTTCAGTGCAATACATAAAAAATGACCACTAGATGTCACTGTAGAGTGAGGTTTAGAAACGTTTCGAAGCTTCGACACATTTGCTTCGACTGTTTCAGTGTTTCACGAAGCCTCGCTTTGCCCACCACTAAATATAAGTGCTTAATTTCAGCTGCTAACAAATTAAAGATTCAAATTTCAAACAAGAAAAACGATTTAAAAACTCACTCGTGACTGACGCCATCTTTCCGTTGGAGAACAGTATGCTGTGTGAGGCGCAACGGTGCATGCGCGATAAGTACGCATGCGTGAAAGCAAAACGGAGCGTACCAACAAGACAACGATTATAGAGGGTGGCAGACAGAAATATGTTTCTAAATATTAACCTTTTATTCACCTTAAAATTTTACAATTAATTCGATAAATTGTTGAATTCTACAAATCCTTTCAGTGTATTATATCAACATGTTGATTCCTGAATACACAATTATAACGTTCACAAAACAAATCCGTAACCCCCCAAAGTGAATACGCTCTCCTGTTATAGGAAGTTACTCGCTGTCAAAATAAAAGGGATGTCAAGTAACATCGGCGTTGTTTGGTCTCTTTAATAATTTACAATTAATAAAATAAATACGACATAAGTACAGCTGGTTGTAATTACACTCGTCGTTATCCGTTGCTAGGATGCTAGCGTCTGGCAGTGAAGTGCAAATGAAAACATGGATAGGGTTAACTATGATACATCTGATATAAGCATATATTGAGGTATATACATGTAAACATTGGTATGCGTTTGTCAGTTTACAATGCTTAATAATATCTTTCCGGCATGGATGTGGTCTGGATCAAACCGTCCAGGGTGTTGTAGTGGAACATTTTTAATCCTATCATTAATTGTGTCGACTTGGCTCTGTGGTATTCATGCCAGTCTAAGTTTAGGACCAGGTGGGGAATTTCCTGGATTTTATGGTAAGCAAAGTACTATTATATTATACTTAAAATATTGTCATCCACTTATTTACTTTCTTGTGTATTGCAGATTTAATCTTCTACGCCTTCAGTAATGAAGAGCTGACCTCATTTCTCCACAACATCTCCCTGCTGCTAGATTGGGCCCTGTCAGGAGAGAAGATGGGGGACTTTTACCTTCCTCACCCTCTCCTTCATCTCCGCTCTGCTCCTTCCTCCTATTTATGCCCTGTTTCTTTTTGTTACTGGAGATGAAGCCAGCAGGGTCTCTGGATACGCAGCCATTCACCTCGCCCTGCTCACGGCTCAGTGTCGACAGGTCAAGCAGAGGAGAGTCCTGCGCTTTGTTCCTGTCTGGTTCTTACCTTGGCTCTTGTTGATTTTTGACCTCTTCCTCCTTCCCAGTGCTCCAGGCCTGCTGCACTTCTATGCCATTTGCCTGGGACTCAACTGTATCCTTTACTACACCAATGGTTCACAGTCTTTTTGACTCCTTTTGTCCGAGACAATATTTTAAGATCACCATACTAGCTATTTCGTTTATTTTCCTGCAGTTTTGACAAATATTTTGTTTTAATTTCATTTAATCATCATTTTACTAATTTCAGACTGGTTTACACTTTTTAAATATATTATTATTAAATAGGCCTGTCACCATCATACATTTTGTGCTGATGATTAATTCTCAATTCATCATACAATTATGTTACAGTTTTTATATGCATAATTTTCTTTCTATTTTACCTAACGTTACATTAAACTTGCCTGCAATATTTCCTGTCATGCTTTAAAAATAGTAAAAGTTCTATTAAATATTTATATTTTTAATTTTAATCTTGTTTTTTAATGATTCACACTGGAAACCAGCAAATTGTATATTATTTTTTATTATAAGAGAGTATTTTGTCTATGGGTGACGTGGTGTCGCAGTAGGTAGTGCTGTCGCCTCACAACAAGAAGGTCACTGTTTCAAGCCTCGGCTGGGTCAGTTGGCATTTCTGTGTGGAGTTTGCATGTTCTCCTCGTGTTCGTGTGGGTTTCCTCCCGGTGCTCTGATTTCCCCCACAAGTCCAAAGACATGTGGTACAGGTGAATTGGGTAAGCTGAAATTGGCTGTAGTGTACGAGTGTGTGTGTGAATGAGAGAGTATGGATGTTTCCCAGTGATGGGTTGCGGCCGGAAGGGTATCCGCTGCGTAAAAAATTGGCTGGATAAGTTGGCGGTTCATTCCTCTGTGGCAACCCCAGAATAAAAAGGGACGAAGCCGAGAAGAAAATGAATGAATGAATTTTGTCCATAAACCAAGCCTGAGAAAAGACAGAACTGTGGCAATTCTTTTTAAATAATGCTTAAATTTTTAAAGTTTTGCCAACAAAATGAAAGCCTATTAACAAAAGATACTGAGAGTAATGTTTTGGGTAAAATAGATTTTTGAAAGGAAATGAGGGTGAAATATTAAAATCATTTTTGGGGGGCATTTTTTAAATGCCAAAATGATTATAAGATTAAGCACTGATCACGTTCCTTGAAAATATTATGTAAATATCCTATCGTAAATGTGGTAAAACTTTTTTTTTTAAATTTATAATAATAATATTAATAATTACTTAAATTTATGTAGTGCTTTTTTTGGACTCTCAAAGTGCTTTACACATTGGAGGGTATCTCCTTATTCACCACCAGTGTGCAACATCCACCCGCTAAACCCTACTCTTTTTTTGAAGGATATCCTGGGATTTTTAACGGCCACAGAGAGTCAGGACCTCGGTTTAACATGCTCACCGAGCATTATAGCATCCCCATCAATGTTAGAAGGACCCACGCAGACCACAGTTTGATCGCCCGCTTCTAGTCTCACTAACACCACTTCCGACAGCAACCTAGCTTTCCCATTTGGTCTCCAAAATCAATCTCCTCACTTGTGTCGGCCGGACTGTTTGTTTGATTGATCCGCTTGATTTGTTTGCGAGTGCTATTTTCTAGTTTTCTCCCTGCTTATCCTGATTTATCATTTAATCTTGTGCTGCTCTTGTTAATGTTTAGTGAGCTTTTGAACGATCTTTATGAGAATTGGATTACCTGAGATCTTGTTTTGCTAATGGCTAACAGTGTGTACTTTACGAGAATTCTAGCATTTCGAGCAGCTTAGTAAAATTTTGTATTAGGTAGTTTTTGGAGGCGTTGCCAAATGTGTACTTGTGTTTGGAAGTTAAGAAGTTTAGTTAAGCTACGTGCTGAAGATTACGGTTTTGTTTCTACATTTTTCTTTGTTCAGTCAGTTTAGTGGGTTGGGGTTTAGTTAGTTCGTTTTGTTATATTTATTTCTTTGTTTTGGCAACACCTATTTTTCTTTAGTTAATTCAATTATTTAAAAAAATACATTTATCTTCCATCTTACATTGTTTAACATTATTTATTAATAAATACTTACTTTTTGTTTCACTTATCAAGCGTATGCGTCTTCTCCTCATTCACCCAG